TTACATAAAAAACTGGATTTATTTTTTTTAATCCTTGCAAAAGGAGAAATATCTGCTGTTGCAAAAGTTCTTTTAATGAGATCTGTTTAATCTTTCTGTTATTTGGCTTTATTCCATTTACTATCTAGCCTTATTACATTTGCAAAATAGCTTGTTTATCTTCATTCTGGGAAAGTAGGTGCCTATAATTTGTAAATATGTCAGTCAAAAATAGACCAGTTAGATGTTCCTGGTTGGCACATTGTCAAGGCACACAATAAGGGAGGCTCCCTCCTCTCTCTCACACACATTCACACACACTCCTTTCTCTCTCACATACACACACTCAAAAATGTATCCAGTAGAGTAAAATATTCACATTAATACTGGAAGCGATGGAGAAGAACCCTGGTCGACATCCCATCTGTTCCCTTGAATTAAATTTAGAATTCATATGTAATATAGACATTTCTGTCTGAATATCATAAAGCCCTGACACATTCAGGGTTTCATTAAAAAGCTCTGAGATGTGACTTGAATAACAATCTGTCTTAGCTAATTAGTATTTTCACTTTAGCATATTCACTTTCAAACGTATTGCTGTTTGCACATGGTAATTTAGGTAAACAGAGCCCATCCACAGCTGCATCAATTAACACTGCTAATCAAAACTGAATTCAGGTAATTAGGCACATTTATGCAAAAAAATGTGTAATTTGTGGGGAAAGCTAGATTCTTCAGTAATATTTCAATAAGTAGGAGTCTCTTTTTGCAAATAAGGCAAGAATATAGTGATAAATCAGCTCTAACATATACATGATACATAGTCAGTCACAAATATCTAAATTAAATCTCACTAATTGGTCTGTATTTTCAGAAATTTGACAATATTTTTTTCACATAAATGCTTTCCTCAGTATTTCTACACGAAAGAATGGATTGGTTTCTGACGGAAGTTTTAGTGCCTTTAAAAGTTAATGTTTTCTCAAGCAGTTTTTGAACTGTTGAACATGATGGTCTGAGTTGTTCTCATTTTCAGACAGGAAAATTTTAATGAGAAAGCCCTCAACTCAATTAAAATTTTAATTTCTCCAAAGAAGGCACATTTTGGTTTACTTGAAAGAAAAGCTAGAAATTTCTACCACCATCCATTTCAAGAATGTAAAGTGGTACATACCTCAAAAATATCCTGCCTGAACTACAAAGTTGCACGTCCTTTCCTTCCTTTTCTTTCGCTTAATCCAAAATTTGAAACCCTCCAAAAACTTCAAAAAACCCCCAAACCCAAGCAGTGTGAGAAACTTCATATTCATAAGAGAATTTTAATTTCCATTGAAATGGAATGAAGAAATGTTCATTGAAACATTACACTCCAAGAGTTTCCATATGCAGCTATTCAAGTTATTCAAATTCAATTCTCTGTTATGCACACTTTCAGAAAGCTACACAGGTCTGATGAACAAGGAATGCAATTATCAACTTGCAGCTAATTTTCCATGATGAAAAGAAATACCTAGGCAATTGCTGATTTTTAACAGAAGCCTAAAATTAATCTGCAGGTTTTGTATCTTCTCTCCGATTTGAAGCTAACTCTGGGGGAAAATATGCAACACATTTTGTGCAGATTTGCAACATGGAATGTTCAGCTTCTGCTAAATACATCATTGTGAAGAAAAAGAATTCTTTACAACTTTAAGGTCTAAGCCTAAGTATCTACTGAAACTGCAGTGTGTTTTCCAATTATATGTAATGCAGTGCATATCTCACTATTCAGAACTTTTCTCTATACAGAAAATTGTAGTTTGTTCCATTATAAATTTTTTTTAATGCTTCCATTAAAATGGCTTTAAACCTGCAATTTTCATTTAGCTATTGGCTGAGTAACATATTGAAAGAATATTGAAATGAGATGGAAGAGGAAAAATGAAGCCTGTGGCAGGAGTAAAATTTTGAGGTGTTTTCTTTTCAAGTAATCGTAATGACTACTGCTGATGTTAGAAATGCTGAACAAGATGATTTATAAACAATTATCCGACCAACATAAAAATATATGTAGTTCCCTATGCCATTCGCACTGGGAGCAATAGTGGGGACAAACAAGATTTTAACTGCACATTTTTGGGGTTTTTTCAAGAGAGAAACATCACCTATATGACATCACATGCTAAGCACCTCACCGATCTCTCACGTGACTTGATAACACTGGCACACAGCGAAGATCATCAAAACAATCTTATGTGACCTTTGCCAATCCGATGTCTTTGAAAGAACCTGCTTGATAAATGCCTTTCCAAAAGAGCAAAGCAAAAGGCACCATGACTAACGGTGTTTATTTTAGGTGTTATGGTCTGTAGGAAGTGAGGACAGTGACAACATCCTTGTTGAGGGAGGAGGTCCCTCCTCCACCAGCCACATTGTTAGCCCTTTTTTTGCCTAAAGTTATCACATATAGTATTACAACAAACTTCCCAGAAATACTTTACTACACTGGCCTGCCTCTTCAGCCTGACTGCCTCAGAAAATGTAAGGAGACACAGTTAGGAGAATCTCTTCACTAAACACATATGTATTTAGCACACATTATTACCTCCTCATGAATTTCCCTGATGCACCTCCCATTTGAAAATTTAATATCATGCTAGAGCATCATTATTTCATGCGATTTGGAGGAGGTTTTCCCACAGAGGTTTAAGAAATTTATGGCAGTATTAGCTGATAACTGACAAGGAAATGATGCCTATCTCAAAAGAGAAAATGCTATATATGAACGTTGGCTGGTAAATAGATGTTTCTCACAGATGTAGCCCCATTTTTTTTTTCTGTCCTGCATTGCTCTGCTGTAAAATATGGAAAATAATTGAGGCATCTTTCTACTAAAAAAATTTAAAATAGGATTTTACATTCCAATTACCATTAATTAAAATACAATGGATATGTGTGACTACAAAGGATCTATAAATACTGTTTCCCTCAATTTAAAGAAAAGTTTCATCCTATTACAAGCACTCAAGAGCATTCCAGAATTATAAGCAAAACAATAAATATTTGAAGTTATTTATTTTTTTCACAGAGCATGCAACTCATTATTCATAACATAAAAACTGTTGAAATGCTTCATGCTCCAGGTATTCATATGGTTAATTCAAGAAGATGCAAATATTTTTAGTTTGAGAAAAGCAAAAGCAAGAGCCAAAAGCCAACAATTAGTACTCTACACTTTACATGAGGAAAAAAAGCTCAATAATTTGCAAACGTTGAAGGAAGTGCTAGTTCCATAATTAAAAATCAGCCAGAGATCCTTTTGGCAAATGGATCTCTTTGTTAAACATCCCACTAATCCAAGCCTGAAGGTATAATTCAGTACCCTGGAGGATCCCCTCTATACTTTTGCCAGCTGTTCCATTTAGGTCACTCTACCACAAGTTTAGCTTTTATCTATTCCTCACTTTCTTCACTGGGTCCCAGAAGCAGCAACCCATCTCTCTGAAGGCTGTTTAAAGTGTAAATGAAAAGACGAGACAGAAGTGAGCTGCTACCTCAGGGTCCTTAATTTCTGAACTGCAATTCCTTGGACTTCCCTACCTTGACAGATGCAATATGAAATCTTCCTTGATAAAAAGTGAGGAGATAAACTGAATATGGAATGCAGATGGCACATTCATTATCATTTTAATGCTTTCCAGCTGCATGAAAGAATAGGAAATTTTACTAGGCAGAAAGTCCACTCCAGACCAAACAGTTGTAGAAGCCCTTCTGCCCTTCAGCCCAATTCCCAGCACTACTGCTGTTGGCATGCAAGCAAAAGCCTTCAAAGAGCCATTTTATCTCTTCTCAGGTGGTCAGTGAGAGGTGGATTCAAGCACAGGAAACAAAAAGAAAGAAAAAATAAGGCAAAAAAATCCTGTATAGTCTGATCCAGTACAGTGTATGCCAAAGACCATGAGGATTCCTGGGGGCAGACCTGACTCTCTTGCCTCCCTCTTCAGGACTGGCAGGTGAAGAAAGGAGACAGTAATCCTTGAAGGACTTGTTCACACAAGTTAAACCAACCCCAAATAACAAAACTACTTCTAGTTTACCATTATTTTGGTGCTTTTAACAAAAATATAATTTCCTAACAAGGCAACAAAAATATGTGAACTGGATCCATTTATAACGGATGGAGTCAGTGTAAATTTAAGTCCTCAGAGAGTCATTGTAGTCCTCCAGAAGGATTTTTTGACAGTATGCTGCTTTATAACAACACCCTGATCTCTTACCCTGCGGAAGTTAAGTGTAATTCATTATAAAACAAATCACTGCCCTGATATTAATTTTTTCTGCTAAACAAAAATAAAGAGTCAGGCCAATACTCTGGGAGGAATTCCTAAGTGTTTAACTTTTAATGAAAGATTTATAAAAAATTCAGCAAGCATATTACTGAGGTCTTTCCAATTCAATATTAAGTAATAAAGTTTGCACACCCAGATACAAACTGTAATGTGAAGCAGTATAAGATCTATTGGAAATTAACTTTCTAGATTTTTTTAAAGTGCTGTTCAGTAGCATAGCCACAGCAACTCTGACAACCACCTGCAAGACTTTACACGTGCAAAGTAATCCCACAGGTTTTAGACATCTACTACGATCATGCCCTGATCCTACCCATCCAGCAAGACATACTGGCTACAGCCTAAGCAGCAGCTTGTTCACCCTTGCAGGAAGGATGGGAATCATATCCCTGAAGCAGCGCAGCAATTCACACACCTGCATTCAGCCTGTGCTGGAGGAAGCGCTCTGTCAGTCAAAAGTACAGTTCTGCAAGCTTGTACATCTGACGTTTAAGGGTCGGGGAGAAGAAAAATGCATCTCAAAGAACATGGATGCAACTCAGTTTCTAATTCTGCCACGGCTCGCACAGGTGAGCAACCCATCTCCGGCACGCCGTCCCGCGAGGCTGGGCAGGGACCCTCACCTGTGACACCCGGCCCGGGGTCTCCGCTCGCGGATCGAGCACATCCACAGTGGCTTGCGCCGCTTACCTCGCTGACGCTCCATGCTCTCCTGCCGGCATTCCTGCACGCGAAGGCTCCTGGCAGGCACTGCTCCCAAGCTCAGCATCCCCGTGGCACGGCTGCTCCGGCGGGAGCCAGCACCGCAAAGGCAGGTTGCCACTGGCCAGTTCCACCACAGCCCGGCCGCGCGCTGTCTGCAATCACATCTCACTGAGTGCAAAACGAAAATTAAAACGTTTTTTTCTCTTACACTTGGAATAGTATGCTATATCATTTGTGTTTGCATTTAAATTGGACAGAATAATTTACTACTGGCTTTTAATTTCAGAAGGGTTAATCACCTCAGCAAAGGTCAATCAAACTTTAATCTCCAATAAAATTGCAGTAGCTTCAGTCACCTGCAGGACATTTATTATATTCCTATTTCCATGCAAAAGGATGCATCACTAATCTTCTAATTCTTTACATTAGCACATTTGCCATTAACATTTTACTAAAATTATTAATTCCTCCAAAACTATTACAAGGGCTCATTTCTACACATCTCAGAAGATAATCCTGTTAAAAACCAGCCACATCTACTATGACATTGCTTTAGTTGTCTGCTCTAATCCTCACAACCATTTGATACTCCAACTGAGTTCTAACAATGCACAAAGTCTCAATTACAGAAAATATTACAGGCTTTAGTTTAGAACAACAATATACTGTTTTAGTAACTTAATCTTTCCTATTGTCTGCAATCACAATACTAATCTATTTTGTCACTGCTCACAGCATTTCCTATTCAAAACAAAATATAGATTTTTAATTTTGCTTAGCAGCTCTTGAAAAGCAATAGATTTACAAGGATAACTTAAAATCCATTATCGAGGATAGGAATAATAATGATGATAAGAATATGTTTCTGGCCTGCAGAGAAGTATTTCCTTGCAAAAAAGAAGCGTCTTTTGGGGTATAACCCATTAAAAAAACAAAGAAATAACAAAAAAGAGTAGCTGGTTCTTTAAATTTGATCTCCCAGTTAAGAACAATTTATCTGCTATTACATTGACTGAGAACTGCAAAGTCTCTCTGAAAAATTCACATCAGCATTAGTTTTAAACTACCATTGCAATAATATCAGCTCAAAATGAGAAAACTGTTTAACTCAAAACAGAAAATTATCCAATAAAAAAGAGCACATCTCCTCAAAAATGTTGGTTTCAGATAAACATCTGCTATGCTAGCTACTAAACAATACATTCCTTCAAAAGTCTACTGTAACAATTCCATCTGAATGCCCAGAACTAGTTTACCTGTAAGACAGAGAAAAGCAACAGAAAACTCAGGGAGAGCTTGTTATAGAACCGAAACAAAACACAAACAATTCATTTCCCAAATTTTAGAAGCTGGTACCAATAATTCAGAATTTATTGGGCAGAAAAATACTAATACCACCAAAATAAATGGGTCTCCCTTATCCTCCTACCATGGTCATATTAGCTCCTGCCAGAAAGAAATCTTCTGTCTATTTAAAATGGATTTTTTAGCCATAATAACATTTTGACATACCGTAATGTAAACAAACTGTTCTTTCCCATCCCAATATTTCCTTCTCTGTCTCTCTGTCTCTCTGTGTCTCCGTCTCTCTCCTCTTTTTGTTTTAATATATGGCACACAGACAGACACACGCCCCCGTCACTGTCAATATGCACACTCATTAGCAATATGTCAGGCTGGCATTTTCAACACACTCCAGAGCATAACTGAACTACCACACAGTGCACACACACACACACGTTAAAATACAATTGCAGAGAAAAAGAGCTCAGTGGAACAATGTTTAACTTGGAAAGCTAGGCAAACATACAAAAGGAGTAAGTGAGATTCTCAGGCAGTATTTTACAAAGGGACTGTGAATTCCCAGCTAACATCATCAATGCTCCCCTCTTTTCATACACACAAACAGACATACACAAAAGAGCATTTTAGCAAGACATTAGAATGCAGAATTACAGATGCAAGAACACGGGTTTTCCCCTGGTTTATTCTTCTAACTTTTTAATGCCTTTAAGTTACATTCTAACTTGAAGTAATGCATGAAAATAAATGCTGAAAATCCCAAGCTGAATGACAAGTTCCTAGAATATGGACTGTCAACAGCATTTCTCAGTTTCCAGTTGAGAAAACTAGCTACGAAACAATTGCATCCGCATTTTTTGCAAAAAGCATCCAGCGAGACGCCAAAGACCACTTAGAAAGGGTGAGTATCACTGAACTACAGCGTTGATTATTCACCTCTTGACGCATTGATAAAACACATTCTAGATTGCTATTGCAACTGCTTTAAAATACGACAGAATAGCTTCACATGGGACCCTGAAATGAAAGGCACCCTCAAAGAGCCATGCCCTTCATTTTTCAAAAGAACGAACAGTGGAGAAATGCATAGGGAAAGAAACATACCTTCAGTTATCCCAGCGAACGACTTTTCAGCACATCTACATAGTCCTGCGGCTCCACCAGTGCAAAAGTCAACACTGCTGTGCTTGTGATCTCTGTGACAATGGCATCATACTGCCGGCAATTTTTTCGATTAAACTTCTCAGACATGGTAGCAACTTTGTTAATTATGATATTAGCCAGCTGGCGGGTACAATCAATCATCCACTGTAAGAAAGCCAGACAAAGAGACATCTAATCATTGCAACCAGAGCAGATAAATTTTGTTCCTTTCTTATACGTGTCACAGATTCTATCCCTCCTGACCCTTTACACAGCCATCGACTGTCAAATTTAGATTCAGCAAGCTCCCAGCTTTTCTTTATCCCTGCCTTAGATCTGAAACTCCTGGTTATCAGGAAGACAAGCGTCACCAGCTGTCTCAGAACAGGAAGGCAATCAGGTGAATAGTACTTATTATCTCTCATTGCCTTCTTAGGAGCAACAAGATTGATTTTGGATCAACAACGCATCAAGATCTCAGGCACAGCTACTACAGTGTCAAGTCTAGAATGCAGTGCATACATAAAGCTGACCTCAACCTTTATTAATACTGCATACCAAAAGTTAGAGGGCTGCTCTTTTTTTAAGTTTTGTTTTGTGTTGAGTTTGTCGGGGGGGTTTTTTTCATTTTTTCCCCCAAGAAAACTCTTATATTTTTTTTTTTCTCCAAAGCTGCGTTGGATATTCTCTTATTCCAGGCCTCCATCCCCCACCTCAGCAAACCCAGGCAAGCAGACCGCACCGTTACTCCGGGGACTCTGTTTCACAGTTGGATAGTCTTAATTGGGCCCACAGAAGCAGTTAGCTACCATTAAAGGCTTCTCTGTATACATCTTCCTCCCAACTAGTCTGATCGCACAGAAAACCCCACAAGTGAAGCCTATGCTTTGGGAAGGTTAAACACGCAAATATGTTATAAACCCAGAATATAAAAGCATCCTAACAGAATCTGAGATGTTGGTGAATTTCAGCATTGGTTTAGAAACAGGAATATATTTGGGCTTTTCATTTAGAGCAGCATTAAACAATCATGCACTCTTACTGTAAGACCTTTTTTTAACACACCAAATGCACTGCCAAGTAGTGGAAGGTGGCTCATATGCAGTAGAAACAAAGGTTTTGTTACAATAGAACAAAAGCTATCAGAATAATGCATTCTGGTACAAAAAGCCCCACCAACTAACTTCATACATTTTGAAATGCCTGCCAACAGTTCCATTTAACTAAATAGAGTATAATAATCAGTGAATACAAATTTATAAGGTGAAAAAAATTTACAGCACCAGTTATGGATTCTTGGTATATTGGCTGTCCTGGCACTTGGACCAAAGACTGCTTTTCCAAAACTATTTAGTTTCAGAACAGTGATCTTGTGTTTACATCACCTTAAGTGAAAGCTAGTTTCCATTTAAAGTGGTATCCAGCAAGACCATCTCAAATCATGAAGAAGATTTTGTGGACTTCACAGCATAAAATTACCTCTTTTTTTAAAATAAATCCACTAAAAACAATAAATTTTTTCTTGAAAGTTTTCACATGCAGTTCAGCTGAAATTTTCACGCTTTCTTTACACACAAACATAAAATATCAACAGTTAGAAAGTAGCAGCTAGTGGGAGCAACAATTAAATCCTGACTTTGCTCCCTTCAAATTAAAGTGTTGCAGAACCTTCTATACCCTTCAGAAGTCAAATTTTTTGTCCTATGTGACTTCCTCATTTGGAAAGTTGAGGCTGAATACAAGAATAGCAATAGTGTTCATAATTCATTATTAAACACAGCTAATTGCTTTCTGATATTTGTTTGAAAGGATGAAGACAAGAAAATAAATTACATTCTCAAATGTGATGTCATTGTTTCATTCATTTTGGATGACTGAAGTATTCAACCAGCTTCTCAGGCAGATATTGAAGGCTACACCAGTTCTGCTTTGCATTCTATATCCAACTTGTTAACAAATTGAGATCTAGCTCAAGTACCTCCACAACACATTGTCACCAATGCAATGGCAGACACTGTTAGAAACTCCTGACTAATTCACTTAAAATATCTACAAACAAGAGAATTTTACTCAGAAGGAAGACCTTAATGAATTATTTGCCCTAATTTTCAATGCTTTACTCAAACCAGATCTTGCTTTATTTAAGCAGCAGCTAAATATGAAGAAATAGTCTTGGTTTTAGCACAGAGGTTTAAGGCAAGAAGTAATAACTGAGCATAGCAAATGAATGAGGGACTTGAGAAGCACACAAAAGCAGGAGGCTGACATAACTAACAATTCATTTTTCTGGAAGGTGAACCAAAATCATCAGATACATAAGCCTAACCCTAGCAGTATCTCCTGTCAGCCACCAGCACAGACCTGACTAGGTTTCTAAGGTGTCACAACAGATCTGACCTGGCTAAACTGGAAAACAAACAGGATGGTGTCTGGCAGATACAGATTGACCAGACTAATTATTTTAAGGATGCAGGAATGAAGGATCAAACTTGGGACCCCAGAAGAACATGCTTTCGTCCATTTTCAACAATTACATCTGGTTTTCCTCTTATTCACACTTTTTTTTTCCTTTTCATTACTTCAAAGTTCACGGCGGGAAAATATGGAATTGACTTCATGAACCCTCAGCTATAATAAACAAAGCAACTGGGCTTGTCACAATACTCTCCTTTGCCATTACTAGGATAGACAGCACGACAGGAATCAGCTGAGAATGAATTATTATACCTATTTACATACTTGAATACCGGTGGAACAACTTATACACTGGATGGATGTACTATCTCTCTTTATTAGCTCTCGTGGAGACTGAAAAACTGGTCTGAATTCAGTTTTAACCCTGCTTGAAGGAGGAGGCTGGACTAATCGACCTCTGGATGCCTCTTCCAAATTGAATTCTTCTATTTATCTATGAACTGTCTAAAGCAAAAACAACATAAATAGTAAAAATTATGAGATTATCCAAATTAAAGGAATTAGAGATGTAATTTTCACAGGAGGGCAGGGCACCTCCTCTGAGCACTTTGGCCCTCAGTTTCTTAAGTTGTTTGAAAAATCAGCCATATTTGGTTGGGGGGGTTGTTTCCCCTGTCCTTTGAGACATAAATATTAGAATTACCAAATCCTCCATACAATAAGAATTTCAGAGAAAAGGAAACATATCAAGGGGAATACACGAAGGAAGTGAACAAAGACCTCCACGGAAGCAACTAGACAACATACTTGATATAGGAGGAGTAAATTCAGGGTCAGATAAACGAAAAATTTCATTAGAATAGAGGGAGATAAAGGATAGACCATGGTTAACTAAAAGTATATTCAATTTCAAAAAAAATGCAAGCCATGGCCATAATAATGGTGGTACAGGCTCAAAAGAGAGGTTTATTTTGGTAAAGACAGAATTACTCCAGGATTTCCACAGTATTTGCTACATTCTTAGCATTCTTACATGGCATGGGGGGGGAACGACCCAAAACACCGAAAGAAACAAAAAAAACCCAAATCCCAAAGACCCAATGTAGAAAAAATATAGTAAAGAGTAGGAGCCATTATCTAAAGGGAAAAAAAAAGAAAAAAATCCAAGTGAAAACAAAAAAAACCTTATTTGTAAGCTTAACTTAAAAAATGTCCATCTAATAAACCTTCCATTGTACTCTCATAAATCCTGTAAATCTTCCATTCAGTACCTCATTCCAAAAAATTAAGTGAAATTAAGCAATAATATATGCAAATTATACATTTAAAATAATGAACAATGTAATGAAAGGAGTACTCTTCACATTGCAATCCAGTGGGCTTTCAAATTAACTTTTAATGTTCAGCGGCTGCCAATTAATAAGGAGCCTACATGCTTGATTCTGCTAGAAAACACAAACTAGGAGAAGGAAAAGTGTAACACAAGGGCACAACGCCAGTGCAGGAGGGTACACCAACACCAGTGCAGAGCTTTAAGGGAACACACGTAGCAGAGCCTGGGTCCAAGGACCAAAACCTGTCTGCAGTGAAGTTCTTCCCGAAAACAGCAGCTTTTAAGGGTTTGGGACACACTGACCCTCTTACACACTGATTCCCCCCTCAATCCAAGAAAAAGCATATGCAAGTACAGACAGAAACCTTATGGTATGGTTTCTCATTTTGGTGTGTCATATGCACCTGAAAGCCACAGATATTTTTTCTTTTTAATTTTGTTTTAAGCAGCTGGCCTGCAGTTTAAACAGCACATATATTCCACTGAAAAGAATGAAATAATAAAGTTTCACAGTGCAGAACAATGTCTGCAAAGGTCACACGTAGCTTCTCGAGGGGGAAGCGCCATGAGGCAGATGTGAAGAGGCCACATGTTGTGTCAGTCCTTAGCACAGAATGAGCAGAGGTGAAATATTAATGCATTGCAAGGAAAACAATCTCGCCTATATTCTAGGAACTGATAAAGAAAGAAAAAAGGGGGGAAAGACCATTTCTCCACCTGCAGCGTGATGAACAGGTCCAGTTTTGTCCCACTTAAACATTGTCAGGACATGTGAACTAAAGGACTTTTTCTGCCCTGCTGTGGCCAGCTGCCGACAAGACTAAAAGCTGCAAATGTTTTTTCCTTGCCACTCCGTTTCACCAATGCTCTGCTGTTTTGCTACCTGCACTAGTAGTCTGACAAACCTCTTCTTAAACTGACCATTAGGAATATAGACACTACGTATACTATGCTCCAGCATCCTGCCTTTGACAACATCCAGTAGCAGGTGTCCAGGAAAAAATGTAAAGGCAAGCAAGGAGCAATTTTCATTCCTGATGTCCACTCCCAGCTTCTACCCACACATGGCATGGAAGCTAACTTATCACAAAGCCAGGACAGCTTAATGCAACACATTTGGCAGGAATTTCAATTCTGTTACCTATATAATAGAATGACCAAAAAAATCAGTAATTGGCAATATATCTGTGAAACAGAAATGCTTGTTGGAATAAGAAAGACTGAGCTGAAGTCGACAAAAAATTAATCTGTCCTAAACTATTTGGTTGCCTATTTTTTAAAAAAGACGGGCTCTTCATTAACGTTCAGACTAAAAATTCTGGATTTGAAATGGGGTTGGGGGTTGTATCATTCTGTAAAGATGAGGCGATAAAAAAGCTTGCATTGTCTTAATGGAATGACAGCATATAAAAGCCCT